GCTATTGAGTTGATTATGGGATTATAGCAGTAAGTATAACTAATAAAAAATTAATTGAAACATTTGAGTGTGTGTGTGTGTTTATGAGAGATTGAGAGTGAGAGAGTTAATTATTGAACAAAAATGGACTTGCCTTTATTTAACAATCAAAAAAGTATGCTTAATGGATACAAAATGCTGTTTAGTGAAAGACCATTTTATCATTTTTTAATTTTTTATTTTTTGAAAGACCATTTTAATTGTTAATGACTATATATTAGAGTTGTAAAGAAATTAATTCTGCAGCTATACTAATTCTTTGATTATGGTTTGGTATGACAATATTTGTAAACTTCTTACCATTTTTTTTAATCAAAAAATTTGTTGATTATAAGGGGATGTTGGCCAAGAGATTGAATAGTTAGTGGGCTCTTTGTCTCTACTAGAAAACCAGCTCAAAGTGGACCTCAGTAAATAACACTTTCAACTCTGATTTTCTTAAAAAATTATTGGCTAGTATACAGCTTTAGTGAACTTAAGTATAATACATATTTTGGTTAAGTTCCTTAATCTCTAAGGCCCTCAGTTTTTTTTATCTGTAACATAAAGGAGTTGGATGATCTTTTAGTCCTAAATTTTTCTGAATCAAAAGTTTGATTCTAAATATAATATTTTAAAAGTACAATGGCAGGTTTTCGCAAGCACTAAGGTCAGATAGAATTACTTTGAAATTCTGGGGTTGCATGTTGCTTTGGGCTGTGGCTGTCATGGCCTTGTGACCTAGCACATGTTATTTAATCTGTTTCCTCACCTTAAGAATTGGCATTTAACTTAAAAGGCTACTCTGGCAATAATTTTCTATCTATACTAATAAAAGGGCAATATGCTAATTAGACCGGGTCGACTGGACATCTTCCGGTCATCCAGTCCTTCTTCTGGGCAAAGCCACGGTGGTGGGGGCCAAGGCAGAGGCGTTTAGGGCCGATCAGGCTGGCAGGGGAGGGTGGTTAGGGGCAATCAGGCCGGCAGAGAGGTTAGGGGTGATCAGGCAGGCAGGCAGGTGAGTGATTAGGAGCCAGTGGTCCTGGATTTCGAGAGGGATGCCTGCAGGGATCGGGCCTAAACCGGCAGTTGGACATCCCCCAAGGGGTCCCGGATTGGAGAGGGTGCAGGCCAGGCTGAGGGACCCCCCTCCTCCATGCATGAATTTCGTGTACCGGGCCTCTATTATGTATGTGTGAGTATGTGTGTGTGTGTGTGTACACATATATATATTCCTAATATGCAAAGTGTCCCCTTGGGAGTTTGGGAGTTCAATCATTCGCTATGACGTGCGCTAACCACCAGTGGGTGGTGCGGAACAAAAGAAGGCCCCAACCAGCAGCCAGCAGCCCCCAGGGACTCTACCCATTCACGAATTTCATGCGCTAGGCCTCTAGTTGAATACATATGAAAAGATGACTGCACATAATTGGTGGACAATAAATATTTTTTTCCCGACCTCTTTTACATCTTTTTAAAAGTTGGTTTTTTACTTTTGAGAATTATATTAAGAATGACTCTTTTATTATTACATTCACAAATGATGGTGAGTTTAAAATCGAAGATACAGTGACCTCTGCCTGTTCCTTGGGGCTCTGTCCTAGTCCCTCTTTTCATTTCATACATTCTGGTTTTATTTACCGTAAGTGTATTCATGACTCATAAACCTCTGTCTCGTTCCCAATTTCTTTTTTTTTTTTTTTAAATATATTTTATTGATTTTTTACAGAGAGGAAGGGAGAGAGACAGAGAGTCAGAAACATCGATGAGAGAGAAACATTGATCAGCTGCCTCCTGCACACCCCCCACTGGGGATGTGCCCGCAACCCAGGTACATGCCCTTGACCGGAATCGAACCTGGGACCCCTCAGTCCGCAGGCCGACGCTCTATCCACCGAGCCAAACCAGTTGCGGCCCCAATGTCTTTTATGAACTACAGATCTATATATCTAATTTCCTATCGGACATCTTTACTTGGATGCCATGACCTCAAAATCAACATGTGCAACATTGATTTTGTTCCTCTCAAACTTTTGGTGCTCTGGGGAGCTGGTTGCCTAGTCTTCCTTGACTCCTCTCTTCCCTTTATAGTCTAAGCAAGTAATTCCACATGTCGAATTGATTCTAATGCCTAAACCTCAATATGTTTACTTTTCTCTAATTCCATAGATGTTATTTTACGTGGGCCTCCGTTGTTTCTCACTTAGATTTTTTCTTCCTAGTGTTCTTTTGTTTTACAGTCTACCCTCTCTACTCAGCCCCTTCACTGCCCATTGATATCCTTCCGAAAACCAAATCTCTGCTTCAAGCCTTTCAATGGCTGCTTGTTTCCTGTATGATGATTTTACCCTTTTATTACTTTTACCACATTGTGTTGGTCATTTTTGCCTTGTGCTCCTATAGCATTGGTTTTTCCCTTGAAGAACAGTTTTGAACTTGTTGCACAGTCTATTGGCTGCCAGCTTGCCTGACACTGTACATTCACTGCCTAGCACAGTGTGGTACTTAGAGAAGATATTTTGAATGGAGTGAAGGTCTCCATTGCAAAAATAAATAGTTCTCTTGGATGTGTGGGATTTACTTTTCATGGAATATTTTCTTTTATTGCCAGCTGAAGCAGTAATTATTTTTGATGCTCATTGAGTTTTATTAAAGAAGAATATGTAATTAGACTAATTTTATACCTTATCAGCATTCAGTTACTGACCTCTTGCCTGAATAACTGTGGCCTTAAAATTAGGTTAAATATGTAATTTTTGATAATGGGAAAAATATTATTTGGCAGTAGTTTTCCTTAGATGGTCTTATCTAAGAATTATAAAACAAACTGGAAATAAAGATTAGTTTTGGAAACTATATATTGAATTAAAACTGTGATACCATACTTTGAGTAATTAAGCATAGTAGCTATTAGAAATATATAAATGGGAAATACTCATTTTAGCTAATGAAAGCAATCTATTGATAACTCATAGTTCAACTCTCATGCAATAGTATGTTTTTATGATTTTGTAAATTGTTGTGTTAGATATTGATGATATTCATGGATAAGGCTTATCTCTGTTGCTCATTCTTTCACCATTATACCTCTCACAAAAGGATTTGAAGAGCATTACGATGACTTCTGATATCAACTACCCAAAGTCTAAACTTCACAGATTAAGGGCACAGTCCTCCTCAAGACTCCACTTACCTAAATCACCAGATGCAAGTTCAGGGGTCCACAGGCCATCCTCACTTCTATCCAGCCAGCTACAAATATGGGGCGGTTTACACTACCTCTCAAGTTTGATAATTCACTAGAATGACTCACAGAACTCAGGAAAATGGTATACTTACTATTATAGTGTTGTCAGAGCAAAAAAATATAAATCAGAACCTGCCAAAGGGATAGACGCATAGGGGATGGTCCGAGAGAATCCAAACATGAAGCTTCTGTCAGCCTTGGGGATGCGTCACTCTCTCAGCATATCAATATGTGACAATGTAAAGACTGTTGTCAACTGGGATGCTATCTGAGCTTTGATGTCCAGTGTTTTTATAGAGTTTCATAGTGTAGTCGTGATTGATTGAATCATTGCCCACATGGCTCAATCTCTAGATCCCTTACTTTGAGGTCAGGCTGATGTCAGATGGCTCAAAGGTCCAATGGTCCTATCACATGATTGGTCTTTTCTGGTGTGACCAGCTCCCATCTGTGCCATCTCTTTAGCACAAAATACCTAGGGGCTCACCATGAGTCACCTTATTTGTATAAACTATCAGGTATGGTCATGGGGATCTACCACAAAGACCTTTCTATCACTTGAAAAATTCCAAAGATTTGAAGCTACTTCCCAAGGTCCACTGCCATTTGTGCCCAGCTTTGGGCCACATAGCGGGAGCTACACAATGATCTGCAGTTGGTTGTCACTTGTGCCGGGCTTGGAGGGACTTGGGAGAGGCTGTGCTGCAAACTGAGGCCGATTTTTGACCTGTTGCCAACACGAGTCCAAGTGCAGGCCCCTCAAGAGGAACACCTGGGACTCCAGCAACCCTCTATCTCACTTGGACATAAGCCATGCCAGTTTTCAGGGGCAGATGTTATGGGGACTCCTTGGCTATTTTACCCTGAACTGGAAGCCCAGTGTGAAGCTGGGACTCCTCGCCCTTTGGGAGGGTACTTCTGAAAGTGAGATATCCCTTCTGATTCTTTTTTTTTTTTTAAATATATTTTATTGATTTTTTACAGAGACGAAGGGGGAGGGATAGAGAGTTAGAAACATTGATCAGCTGCCTCCTGCACACTCCCCACTGGGGATGTGCCCGCAACCAAGGTACATGCCCTTGACTAGAATCGAAGCCGGGACCCTTCAGTCCGCAGGCCGAGCCACTGAGCCAAACCGGTCAGGGCCCTTCTGATTCTTAATCATCGTATTGTGGGTGCAGGCCTGCCCATTCCGCATTTCTGCCTTCCACCTGTCTCATTGTGGCTTCTGTGAATTATGTTTAGCTAGTTTTCAGGTAGTTCTCAAAGGTGATAGTTTGGTTCTATAATTTAGTTTGAATTTTGACTACTGTTGTGGGAGGAGGTGAACACAGTGTTTACCTACTTTACTATCTTGACCATCCTAGTGCGGTAATCACTTAGGAATTTACAAGGGCTTTAGGAGCCCTGTGTCAGGAATGGGGTCAAAAACAAATATTAGAACAAGAAATGCTCCCATGTTCTTATCTCTTAGGAAATTAGAAGGGTTTTAGGTGCTCTGTGCCAGAACTGGGGGGTAGAGACCAATCTATATATTTTCTATTACCTATCAGCTTCCCAATCCTGTCCTTGAGTCTTGTTAAAGCAGCATTTTGTATAAAAATTCATAACTAGACTGTCTTCTTTTTCTATATAGGGTAGCATATATCCTGTTTTGCATTTGAAGGTAGTACTTTTGTGATTAATAGTATAGGGACGTGGCCATGACCTCTGGAGAATAAGAAGCAACCTAATGCATCTATTGACAAACCTGGAGCAGTTACTGTCTGCTGCAAAGGTTTCTAGTACAGATGCAAGAGAAAAGTATCCTTGCCCTTTCTGTCTGTCTGATTGTGGCAGACAAGATTGAATGGGGGAATACAGGAGGAAAAATGGTGACAGAGGAATGAAACATGGAGAGAGAATTTGGGCAACTCAGAAATAATGTTGTAAATAAAGAAAAACCTGTGGTCTTTTTCCCCCAAAAAGAATCTGAAATTTGAGTTAAAAAAATTAGCCTAGTCTGGTGTAAAACTGTTAATAATCCACCTTATCCCTGAGTGAAAGGAAAATTAATTATGTATCAGACTGATTGGTACTTGGAGTGATTATGGAAGGTGTCAAATAGCACTGTGTTATATTGAAATTATTAGCCTCCTTGTTTCTGGTCTAGATTCTGTGCCTTTGGTCAAGCACTTAAGCTTCTTAACAGAGCTTGCCTATTAGACAGGCCTGTCTGTAAGGCTAATGTCTGGAACTTAGCTAGTAAACAGTTTTCTATACTGATACAAAACTTTCCCTAACTGATAAGAGTAGTTCATTGTCCCTAAACTGTTTGTATAAGCCATGTGATTTCTGCAGAAACGGCTGCTTTCCTTTTGGGGAGCCTGGTAGCGCTAGTCAAGAGGGTGCTATATGACCATCTCACAATAGACGCTTAGGGCACTAAGCCTGTAATGCGCTTCCCTGGAAGGCAACACTTCACATGGGTGGCCACAACTTGTTGGAGGAATTAAGAGTGTCCTAGATGATTCCACAGGGAAGAACTCTTGGAAGTTTGCATTTAGTTTTCTCTGGGCTTTGCCCCATGTACCATTTCCTTGGTTAATTTTGCTTTGGATGCTTTCACTGTAATAAACTGGAAATGTGAGTATAATGACTTCTGCATACTTTGAGTCTTTCTTGTGAGTCCCCAAACCTGGGGGTGGTTTTTGAGGACTCCCAACACTCTCCTTTCCAGTCTTTTCTGGTTCCTTTTTAGCGCTCTCACCTCTAAACTTTGAGTACTCCAAGAATTTGTTTTCAGTGTCTGCAGTCCCTAGGCGTTCTTTTCACTGTTTCTGGGCAGTATTTCTCACTTTTATATCAGAATGCCATTGTTCAGCATTTCAGGCTCCAAAATGCACTGGATTGATTTTGTCTGTCATGCTGTGAAGTCATTTTGGAAATTTGCAAAAAGATTACAGATTACTAAAATAAGATAAGAGATTTTACTCTATTACTAGAATTATTTGACATGATTTTTAAAAATTCATTTTAAATACAGTTGAGTTCAAGGAAATTTGGAAAGAATTATAAAGAAGAAAAAATTACATTGTAATTTAAAAATAACATCAGAGCTCGGCTGGTGTGCTCAGTGGTTGAGCATCAAACTATGAACCAGGAGGTTGTGGTTTAGCATCAAACTATGAACCAGGAGGTGGTGGTTTGATTCCTGGTCAGTGCACATGCCCGGGTTGTCGGATGCTCCCCAGTAGGGGGCGTGCAGGAGGCAGCTGATCAGTGATTCATTGTTGATGTTTCTATCGCTCCCTCTCCCTTCCTCTCTGAAATCAATAAAAATATATTAAAAAATTTCAGAAAGCATGCAATAGCAGAATTTTACATTGCAGAAAAGTTCTAGAGTTTAGACTAAGATGAAAAATGTGGAGACTTTTGAAAGCAGACAAAAGGAAATAGTTGATTTTGTTTACTAATTTTTAGTTGCACTTTTTAATTACCTTTTTTTTTTTTTTTTTAGCATATGTAATCTTAGGTCTCTCTCTCTTTCTCTTTTTTGTTAATCCTTATCTGAGGATATTTTTTCCATTGTTTTTAGAGGGTGGAAGCGAGGGAGGGAGGGGAGGAGAGAGAGAAACATTGATGTGAGTTATACATTCACTGGTTGCTTTCCGCAAGCACCCTGACCGGGAGTGGAGAGTAAACCTGAAATCCAGGTATGTGCCCTTGACTGGAAATGGAACTCGAGATTCTTTGGTGTGAGGGCTGACACTAATCATTGAGCCACACTGGCCAGGGCAGTTTCTCTTATTATAAACTAAATCCCAGACATTCTACCTCTTTTGTTCAATTTGTACAAGTGGGTGATTTGTAATAATATCTTTTTTTTAAAAAAATATATTTTATTGATTTTTTACAGAGAGGAAGGGAGAGGGACAGAGAGTTAGAAACATCGATGAGAGAGATCGATCAGCTGCCTCCTGAACAGCCCCCACTGGGGATGTGCCCGCAACCAAGGTACATGCCCCTGACCGGAATCGAACCCGGGACCCCCCAGTCCGCAGGCCGACACTCTATCCACTGAGCCAAACCGGTTCGGCTGTAATAATATCTTTATACTTGAAGTTTGAGTACAATGTTCTACTCAGTTGATATATTCATATCTCTGATATGTCACCTGCTTAGGGAAAGGCCTGTTATTATTCATATATAATGCTTTCTCATGGTAATATAATAATGAAAAGAGGAAACTAAGTGTTCATGGTAATTGTTTTATAAAGTGTTTATTATGAGTGCTGTCTTGAAGGAATATTGATTTTTAAAAAGATTATATACTTTAGTTTTAAAGATTATATATAACTCACAAATACTGTAGAAACCAAATACTTGTAATTGGTGTAGTTTTGAAGCATAATGTTAACTATCTTGGAGTCATTTCTGTTGTACTTGGTGAAGTGACATCACTTCACATTACTCTAAGATGACACTAAGGCCTTACTTGCCACCAGAACCACCAGAAGACAGCTGCTCTGAATAAGTAAGTCTCACCATGTTTCTTGGCTCATTAAGTCCACTGAGATGCCATTGTTAATGCATAGCTTTAGGTGAATATTTAAATTGTTCTATATAATTCTTAATTTTATTTCTATGACCCCTCTTTAATGCCATAAAATGATAGTGCTTAATGACAAAAATAAGAATTAAACAGTAATTTCTGTTGACTAAATGTTAAATTAATAAAGTTTTAAATAATTCAGAAGACATATATTACTTTTTAAAAGACAATTATATTATTTGCATCAATGGTAAAAAGCAAATACTCCTGATAAATAAAAGTAAACAGTATGAGCAGTATTTTACAAATGAAAATGAATCACATCTTTTTTTTTTTTAAATATATTTTATTGATTTTTTACAGAGAGGAAGGGAGAGAGATAGTTAGAAACATCGATGAGAGAGAAACATCGATCAGCTGCCTCCTGCACATCTCCCAGTGGGGATGTGCCCGCAACCCAAGTACATGCCCTTGACCGGAATCGAACCCGGGACCTCTCAGTCCGCAGGCCGACGCTCTATCCACTGAGCCAAACCGGTTTCGGCACATCTTTTTTATATCACATAAGTCACCAAGCAAAATTGAAAAACAGCTCAGGAGGGGTGGCTCAGTGGTTGAGCATTGACCCATTGATTCCAAGTACCTGGGTTGCAGGCTTGATTTCCAGTAGGGGGCATATAGGAGGCAGCTGATCAGTGTTTCTCTCTCATCGATGTCATTTCTCTCTATCCCTCTCCCTTCCTAAAATCAGTAAAAACATTTAAAAAAATCGAAAAACAGTAGTAAAAGCCACCTTAAACACATGACTTTTCAGAAAGCTGTAACTTACTTGTTGCCTGAGAGGAAAGCTCAGCATGTTGGGAGGCATCATTCTTGCTGCCTGTTGTCTTTCTCTCTTTGACACAGTAGAGCATCCTTTGTGACTACGTAACTACAGATGGGTAACTCTGGTTACCAGTAATTATGCTTCCTCTCTCTATGCAATCAGATGAAAAGCAAAAAGGAAATATTAAGAATAGTGTGTCCTTCCTTTCTCTTTTCTTATACTCAGACATTCATTTATTTATCCATTCACACCTTAATTCAGTGAACATTTCTGGGGTACAAGTTGTGTGCCAGGTATTATAAAATTGAATAAAGCATGAACTTGGCTTTAATGGATTTAAAAAATAAATTTTTATTGATTTCAGAGGAAGGGAGAGGGAGATCTAGAAACTCAATGATGAGAGAGAACCATCGATTGGCCACCTTCCACCGTGGACCAAGCCCACAACCGGTGCATGCGCTCCTGATCGGAATCAAACCCAGGACCCTTCAGTCCGTAGGCTGACGCCCCACCCACTGAGCCAAACCAGCCAGTTTATAGTTTAGTTTCTTTTGTGCTACTCCATTCTTATTGTAAGAATTCAAACTTTCTCTCTCTAGGCTTAAATTCTGTATCTTTAAAAATAAGGTTTAGATTCCTTTGTGAGGAAGAATGCCTTTCGAGGATGAGTTAAAATTCCAGGCATATGGAATGCTTTAGATTCTTTTGGAAAGAGACCTGGGAGCCCGAGTGCGAGGTGTCCTAAGGAATCTATACCCTCATTCGTCAGGAGTTAAATAGGCCAGAAGTGTTTGTAAAGAGAATGCCACAGTGTTTATAGTGGAAAGTGGAATTTAGTATTGCAGAAAAATCAAGAGATACTCATTTATATTTATACTACTTTGGCCTGTTTGCCCCTGAAATAGCTCAATGATGTAATAAAGCAGTGATATGACACTTCCATGATAAGTTCCCATCATTTAGCTGCATTGTGAAGAATAAGGCACTCAAATAGTGATCATCAGTTCATACAGCAATCATTTACTTCATCTTTATTGGTTGTCGCTGATTCTAAGGAAACTTTATTTTTTTAGAAATGATAATTTTTTTATACTATAGTATTACGTAATAGGACTAAAAAAGGTAGGGGGCTTTAAAAATCAATTCCTTATCTGATATCTGTATGTCTTGACATAGCGTTTTAGTATTTAAAATATTTAAAAAGTATTTCATGTGATAACAGCTTTATTGAGACATTATTGACATAGCATAAAGTTTACCCTTTAAATTGTATAGTTTAGTGGTTTTTATTGTATTTTTAAGTTGTGCAGCCATTAATATTGTCATTACCCAAAATGTAATTTTATTTTTGAACTCTATGAAAATAAAAACCCTTTTCAAAATTGAAATTTTTCTTTAAAAATTATCCTTTTACTGAGTTTTGGTTTGGGATGATGAAAAATTTTTGATAGTGGTGATGGTTGCACATTTTGAATGGACTTAATGGCACTGAATTGTGAAAATGG